TAGTTGTCATTGTTGTTTGGCAGGCCTGGGCTGGATTCAAACCGGCCAGCTCCGGTGTATGTGGCTGGCACCCTAGCTGCTGAGCCACAGGCTCCACGCCTTGAATTCTTTCTTATTTTTTATTATTTATTTATTTATTTTTGAGACAGAGCCTCAAGCTTTTACCTTTGGTAGAGTGCTATGGCATCACAGCTTACGGCAACCTCCAACTCCTGGGCTTATGCAATTTTCTTGTCTCAGCCTCCCAAGTAGCTAGGACTACAGGTGCCTGCCACACCAGGCTATTTTTTGGTTGTAGTTGTCATTGTTGTTTGGCAGGCCCAGGCTGGCTTCAAACCCACCAGCTCTGCTGTATGTGGCTGGCACCTTAGCTGTTTGAGCCACAGGTGCCAAGCCTTGAGTTCTTTTTTAATTAAAATGTTTCCTGCTTTGTAGAACTTCATAATTTTTATTGTAATTTTATGGTAAATATACTTACTACTTTGAGTTGCTAGAGGTATTTCCTCAAACTAATTATCAAATTTGCTTACAAAATAGATAAGGGCAGGTATAAGATTCTTGAGTAAAATGTTTATATTTCATTCTTTCAAGAAATATTTATTAAATTAAGAACTTGTTAGGCTAGGTGTCCAGCATTGTTCTAGGTGCTGGGAGATAGAATGACAAATAGGGTAGCTGGAATTGTAACTTAGTGGCACACTATGAAGGGAGCACACATAAACAGAAGATGCACACATAAACAGATGGAAAAAGATTTATATATTGGAAAGAACTGAAGAAACCTGCTTTATTAAAGTGGTAGTGGTCAGGAAAGGCTACACTGAGAAAATAACATTTGAGCTGAGACCTGAATGATGGAGATATAAACCAAGTGAATTTCTTGGGACAGAGCATTCTAACCAAAGCGACAACACGGGACAAAGATTCTAGGGTGGGAGAGAGGTTTTAGTCTATTCAGGGAACATCAGGAAGGCCATATGGCCCAGACTTAGAGCTTTGGGAATGTCTTGTAAGGTGACAGAAAAGGGAAGAGTGGGACAGATTACACAGGACTGTAATAATTTAAGAGTTTTTTTGATGGGAAGCTAATTGAGGGTTTTAAGCAGAGGATGGCCAGCCTAGGACAGGAGACATTTAATAAGTATGCATATAAGCATTCAAATGATAGATTAAAGTTAGGGGCATATAGGAGGACTTAACTAAACTATAGGCTCCAGATTCTTGTTCCTGGGAAATGGAACAAGTATGACTTTTTTGGGGGGGGGGGACAAGAGTCTCACTATGTTGCTCTGGGTAGAGTGCTGTGGCATCACAGCTCACAACAACCTCAAACTCTTGGGCTTAAGTGATTCTCTTGCCTCAGCCTCCCAGGTAGCTAGGAATACAGGCATCTGCCACAATGCCTGGCTTTTTTTTTTTTTTGGTATAGTTGTCATTTGGCAGGCCCAGCCTAGGTACGAACCTGCCAGCCCCCACGTATGTGGCCTGCGCGCCAAGCCACAAGTATGACTTGATGAAGGGAACAGCATGGGAAAGAATATACCAGGGAGAGGAATTTGGTTAAGTGAAGTTTGAGCCTGGAAAGGGCTGAATAAAGTAAGGATCTAAAGGAAGGTAGCTTAAGTATCTGTAGTTGAAGTCACATACCAATCGGGAGGCGGTTGTCTGGGACTTGGGAAAACAAACCTCCGCTTTCCTGGACCTGCCCCTCCTTCCCACCACTGGTATGCAGCTGTAAGAGGGGAGAATAGCACCAAACATGGCAAGAGAGATTGGCAGGGAGTACAGGACCGTATAAGGCATGTATAGGATTTTAGTCATTAGTCCTCCATAACAATGGGATTTTAGGGAGAGTAACTTGATTGAATTTACATCTAACTGTGTTTAGTTGCTATTCTGTGGAGATTGGATTGGATTGGAGGAGGGGGGTTGAGAGAATTGATGAAGGAAGACTAGTTAGGTACCACAGATACTTAAGATGGCAGTGATGAGTGTAGAGTGTTATTGATAGAGCTTCTGACATGAAGACAAATTTAAGAATGTGGTTATTGATTAGGTTTAGGGATACAGAAAAGGAGAAAGCCCACAGGTCTGTACCTGAGCAAATGAGTGAATGGTGAAATCAGTACACAGCTACACTGGTCAGTTGAAAATCACTGCAGTGTTTTGACATTTCAAGGTATAAAATATTGAATTATTTTAAAATTATTTAACTTGTACCACATGTGTCTTCAAATCCTGATGACAACCCTATGAGATAGGAACTGTTATTATACCTTTTTTGCAGAGGAGAAAACAGGCACAGAGAGATTAAGTGATATGCGTATAGGTAGGTTTACTCTGTAGCTCATGGTCTTAACCATTAATTAAGCTTGAAAGCTGTTAATCACACATTGTATACTGTTTCATCGTTTATTTGGACTTACCTAATGATGTTATTTTGGAAATTAACAGCGTTTTAACGTTTCCTGAGAAGTATACTTTTTGTGTGTTACAGCTGTATGCCGGTGAAGCAGGCAATGATTGCTTTCACTTCCAAAGATTCTCCTTTGAAGTTGCTTGCTCTTTATAATGTATCATCATTGTTTGCAGCACATTTTGAAATAATGTAGCTGACTTTGCTTTTTATAGTGAAGATGCCTTGTGATGTCTGGGTGAGGGCTCAAATAGTCTTTGTAAATCAGATAAGCCAGGTACTTCTTTCTGTTAAAAGATTAAACATCCACCAAGATGCTCACAAAAATCCACTAATGTAGGTATATAAACTTTGCGCTGTGAATAACGGTTATGTAGACAAGACATTGTACCGATGACTAATAATATACCACTTTTCAGTAGACTGGGCCTTTTTATGCCAGGAGGGCAGTAATTGCTTTGAACACAGTGGATACTGTATGTCTTCTTAGCTTGGAAACTGACAGGCTTAAGGGAAGGTCTCTTAGAAATTTTGATATGGGGGAGGATAAGGTTCCCAGGAATAACTTGTTGCTATAATGGATCATGCAGTTGATAAGGAAGGAAGCCAGGCAGGGAACGGGTCCTCAGAAGCTATTAGGTGATTTTTAACAAAGAACAGAAACCTAAACTTCAGAAAAACTGTTTACCTTTTCCTTAGTTATTTCTTCATCATTGTTCCATAAGATTCTTTCTGCAAAGGTTACCTGATTTTGGTGTGTTGTAGGGAGCAAAGAAAGGGTTTATGTGGTTGTTTAATTATAATATGATTTTAAAGTAGTGGCTGTGGTGTTTGGTGAGAAAGATCCCCAGTGGAAGATGAAACTAGGCTATAACTGCATCTCACTGACCAGTCTCTATTAAAACAATCCTCTGCCCTACTTTAATAAGGGAGTAGGTTGTTACTCTTATTAAATTAAAGACTCATTGTCATAAGCATCATTTTTGGAAACTTGTTAGGACCCTGACTCTGCTCATGACATTCTAGAATGAAAAATAACATGCACAATTCATACATATGGTTTAATCTTTGTCATGTGGAGTAATTTTCCAAGTGAATTCTGAACTAGCAGGTGAAATCGACTTTTCCCTTGTTTTTGTGCACACAGTAGCAAAAGTTGCTTATTGAGGAATGCAGCTGTCAAGAACAGCTGCTGCTCACAGTTGTTAAGACTTAAGATAGAGGCCATATTTACACTTAGTATTGTTGCTTCTCTGTATATCTAGTGGGAAATCTTACCGGTGTTCTTTGTCCTGTTACAGAAGGAGTGAGAAAACCAAAGGTACTTGAACATCATTTTTTGTTAACTATTCTCAAATGATGTGCAATGGTGGAGGGTACACTTGTTTATTTGAAATTTTGCTTTAGTTGTTATTCTTAAAGAAAGGTTTGGCTTGGCACCTGTGGCTCAAGTGGCTAAGGCGCCCGCCACATACACCTGAGGTGGCAGGTTCCAATCCAGCCTGGGCCTGCCAAACAATGACGGCTGTAACCAAAAAATAACCAGGCATTGTGGTGGGCACCTCTGGTCCCAGCTACTTGGGAGGTGGAGGCAGGAGACTTGCTTGAGCCCAGGAGTTGGAGGTTACTGTGAGCTATGATGCCACAGCACTCTACCCAGGGGGACAGCTTGAGGCTCTGTCTCAAAAAAAAGAAAGGTTTGTAATGCAGAGGTTAAGGTAACCTGTTTATTTCTTTTTTAAATTCTAGGTGAGAATTATGAAGATGATGACCTAGTAAACTCTGATGAGGTTATGAAGAAACCATGTCCAGTACAGATTGTTCTTGCTCATGAAGATGACCATAACTTTGAGCTTGATGAAGAAGCTTTGGAGCAGATATTGCTACAGGAGCACATTCGAGATCTTAACATAGTAGTGGTATCTGTGGCAGGAGCTTTTCGTAAAGGGAAATCATTTCTCCTGGACTTCATGCTTAGATACATGTATAACAAGGTGAATAGTGTCTTTTAAATTGAACCTAGTTAAAAAAACAAACTACCGACCAACCCTGTTTTTTTAAAAAATAGACAAAACCCAGTTAGAGCTGCTGTATGTTTTATTTTGTAGAAATATAGTTCTTTATAGGACTTCATGGTTAAGACAGTAAGGTAAGTTTGAGGTCTTGACTGTTCATAACTTCTTTTTGCATAAAATATACATTGATATAGATGATTGAGCATTTATGTTTCAGGCATTGTATACCTTGAGAGTCTCTGAAGTACTATTTATCTTCTCTCCTTTTTTGTTATTTCTTTACATTTTCCTCTTCTTGGCTACTTACAGTGAATGAAGTAGGTGAATAGAGAGTTTTAGAAAAGTACAGCTGTATTTCTCAAATAAGGCACTTAGAGTGACTTTTTTTTTTTTTTACCATGAAGTCCAGTTTCTTATAGTAGCTTCTGTGGGCATCCATGATCTCAGTGTCTTCTCTCGCCTCTGTGTATTAACTGTACAGTTGTGGCTATTCCTTGAGTGTGTTGCATTTTTTAAAATTTTGCTGTATTTTTGGCTAATATTATCATAGAAGTCTTTCTTGACTTCTGTTGTATATTTTATTGACATTATTTTAGTTGCTTATTTTTTATTCCTAGTCTATGCTCTTTCAAGGGGAGACCTGGTCTTGCTAATCATGTCTCTAGCGCCTAGCACACCTGGACCTTAGTAGACACTTTCTATTTTGATTGATGAATCTCCCTCCCAGTACACATTCTTACTTAGAAATTAAGATTGTTATTTTCCTTCCTCTTACTGACGATTGTTATTTTCCTTCCTCTTGCGGACTTTCTCTTCTGGGGAAAAAAAAAGAAGACCCACCCTCCAATTTTTTTTTTTCCACTTGAATCAGAATACGTTCCCATTACTTGAAATTTGGTTTGCAGGAATGGGAGTTTGATAGGATTCAAAAAAAAAGGAATTGGAAATATTGGAGTGGAAAACAGTTTTTGGGAGCAGCTATGCAGGAACTTTTGACATTCAGAAACCACATGAAGACATTAGAACTAGCATGTTGACAGAATTACATAATTGTCAGAACTCTTTATGAGTTTAAATCTGTAACTAGGTATCCATTTACCTTGAGATAAGAAATGAGGTAAACATTCCCTGTTGGTTTTCTAGAAAGCTTTTTCAGTAAATTTTTTTTTTTTTTTTGAGACAGAGCCTCAAGCTGTCCCCCTGGGTAGAGTGCCGTGGCATTACAGCTCACAGCAACCTCCAACTCCTGGGCTCAAGCGAGTCTCCTGCCTCCGCCTCCCAAGTAGCTGGGACCACAGGCGCCCACCACAACGCCCGGCTATTTTTTGGTTGCAGCCGTCATTGTTGTTTGGCAAGTCCAGGCTGGGGATTCGAACCCGCCACCTTAGGTGTACGTGGCTGGCGCCTTAGCCAGTTGAGCTATAGGCGCCGAGCCAGTAAATTTTTTTAATAAGGATTTTATCTTTTCAGGTATTCTCAAGTATGTTTGAGTATCAAGAATGTCGTTAACATTAAAAAATAATATTTTACATGTTTAAGAAATTGAGAAAGATACATTATGGTTTTTCCACTTAGAGTTGATTATTTCCTATAGTTTTGCATCTGAAATACAAAAATGTTGTGTATGGCTATATCACCTTGAATGTGACTGATCTTGTCTGGAATAGATAGATAGTGACACATTCTTTAAAAAAATTTTTTTGTACATTTAAAGATGATAAAGAGTTTCTGAATCTTAAGGCCTCTCACTCCTTAAGTCAGCTTGTATGTATTATATCTATGTGAATCTGAGCTGTTGCCGACAAATGTGTTTGATTCCAAGTAGGTCACAGGTAGTGGAGTGTTAGAAGGAGAAGCAGCTTAGATCACTTGTCCAGGAATGACAGATGAGTTTTGCCTCAGGTGTCATTTCTGATTCCATCTCTGGTCATTTAGTAGTGGGTGTTCACATGGGGAGTAGCAGCCTCCTATTTGTCATGTATGTGCAGTCTCTGAACTAATAGGACTTCCTCTTGTGCGGGAGGTATGGAACCTACAGAAAGGTTGTGATGGCCTGAGTGAGGTTACACGTCTAGTTAGTGACTTCTAAGTTGAAATTTCTTAATTAACTTTCATTTATAAGTTTTTCATTTAGAATTCTTGATCTAAATAAAGATCTCTGTTAATCAAGAGTTGCACTTAAGCAGTGTCTGATTTTTGAGATAACATGCCTCTACATAACACTGATTTAGTGGTGAGTTACGCTTTTTCTTTTGAGATGAAAGTAAAGAAGGAAAAATAATGTAATAGTTTTGGATTTATTTTATTGACCTCTATGCCTGTAAAGGTGGGATTCTAGCTGAAATAAGTAGAAGTGTTCTATGTTGACCTGAGTCTAATTTACAGAAGTATACAGTTTACTAAAGTAGTGAATTATATAAGAGGAAATTAAAATCTGTGATTAGAGACTGAACTAATTAGTAGTGGTAGTGTGAGGGAGATTAACTTTCCCCACCAAAATACTTGTGCATACTCTCAAGTATTCTATGCTTCCTCCTTTCTAATCTGATTTGGTTGTTGAGGTTATAGTTCAGATAAATGTATTGTGAAAGGTGCAGAAATCTTAGTGTATAGTTTGAAATTTTACATACATATATATCCATATTAATAGTACCCAGGTGAAGATAATAGAACACTCTCTTTTTGTGTTCCCTACAAGTTAATATATAGTCCCCTAAAGTAACTACTGTTCCGAACTTCTCACAGGCTCATTTTATCTATTTTGAACTTAATATGAATGAAATCATACCCTATGGATTCTGTGTTTAGCTTATTTCATTAACATCATAACTTTGAGATGTATCTATGTTTTTGCATTATTTTTATTGCCTTAATATTTCACTGTATGACTGTATCATATTTTATTTATTTACTTAACTGCTGATGATATTTGCTTTGATGTTACAATTTTTAGTCAGTTGACTTGTTAATTATACCCTTCCCAAGTGAAGTGGATTACTCCAGTGTTAGTTAGAATTGTAAGAAAATGCTGATCAAATTATTCTATCTGGCTATTGTAAAGGTAGTTTCAATTCCAGGAATCAACTTATGAAGGTTAAAACTTAATTTAGCAAAATTATATGATACATGTAAAACTAAACACAATGCTTGGGATATTAATACTGAGTAATAGTAAAGATTCCTAATTCAATAGAGTTATTTCTACTTTTATATTAGTCTCTTTTTAAATAAGCTTATTGTGAAGAATTTTAAACACATGAAAGTAGACAGTAGTATGACTGCCTGTGTACTTAACAATTTTTAGCAATTATCAAGTCCATTGATCTCATTTCATCTATATTCCAACTCACTTCACACCTTATGTGTTGTTTCAAGGTAAATTCTCAGAAATATCATTTTGTTTAAAATATTTTAGTGTGTATGTTTCTTGTTTCTCCAAATAAGGACTTGTTTCAACATGACAATAATATCATGGGTGAAAATCAGTTTAATATTGTGAAATGTCTGATAAGTGTTCAATTTTCCAGTTGCCTCAATATTTTATTACTTTTTAATAGTTTGAATCCAAACAGAAGAGGTCCACATTGTGATTATCTTTTTAGGTTTCCCTTCCTCTTTCTCTTTTTCTTGGGAATTTATTTGTTCAGGAGACTAATTCAGTGTTCTTTTAGAGCAGTGGGTCTCAACCTGTGGGTCGTGACCCACAGGAACAGTATTAAAGGGCCACGGCATTAGGAAGGTTGAGAACTGCTGCTTTAGAGTTTCCCACTCTGGACTTGCTGTAATACCTCACTGGTGTAGTTCCTGTGTCCTATGAATTTTCCGTAAATGTTAGTTGAATCTAAAGACCTGGTCAAAGTCAGGTTAGGCACTTTTTGGGCAAGAATACTGCATAGATGATGATGTATTCTTCCATCAGAAGGCACATGCTATGTTTTAATATAACAATTCTTGAATCTTTACTGAATTCTAGGTGTTTTGATTACTGAGTATTTAATAGACATTATCTTAATCCATATTCACCATAACCATGTAGTAATATTAGTATTTCAACTTAGTAGTTGAAGAAATAAGGGTCAAAGTTTGTAGCAAATTTGAGATTTCAGAGGTGATTTGATGCCAAAGACTTTCTAAAAACTATTGTGTAAAATTATCTTTGGTCATTTTCCCATATATCTCAAGTATGTAAAGCATAGTTACATTATAGGATATACTTATACTAAATTGTTCTTTTGTAATTGTTCACTTTTCATTGTTTACTTGAGTTAGACTGACAGGAGGATACCTGCAAGTATAAATGTGGTGACTTTTCTTGTTGCCCACTGGTATCTAAGCCTAATGAATAGAGATGGTCTTTTGCTGTGCTTGCTATACAGGAGTTTTGACTCCATCTACTATGTATAACATATTTGCTAGTGGCATTTGAAGAGAACTGTCTTTTATGTAGTTTTTCTTTACTATTTAATGAGCTGCTCCCAAAATTTACCAGAGATCAGGAGTAAAAAACTATCTTTAAGAATCATATGTGCTTCCAAAAGCAAAAATATCTCAGAAACAACCTTATGGGAAATTGAACTTGATTTCACCTTCCTCTTTAAGGCTAATAGTGTCTGAGGTGTAAGACTCCTGGGAAATGTGTGACTACATGAGGAGAAACATAATTTGTCTCCTTTTCTTTTCCAGGAAAGAAATATATTTGGAGGAAGAACGATATTTTAAAATGTATCTTCCTTAGGTTATTTTACTATTTATTTTTTATTGTGATATAACTTATGTAGGATAAAGTGTATAAACCTTAGAATAGCCATTAAGTTTTTATATATGTATACTTTTGTAATCATTACTTCTCAGATCAAGACAGAACATATCTTGCCCTCCAGAAGGCTTTTCTCATTCCCTCTCCCAGTTACTACTGTCTCTAGCTCTCAAGGACCACCAGTGTTAGGATTTGCTATCATTGTAGATTAGTTTTGCCTACT